ATGGGGCCGCGCCTGCAGCCGGGGTGGAGGGGCCTGGCCATAGGGGCTGAGCTATAGGTGTGCCCCGCTATAGGGGAGGGGGCTGTGACCCCACCCCGGCTATAGGGGCTGGGGTATAGGTGTGCCCTGCTATAGGGAAGGGGGCTGTGACCCCCTGGATATAGGGGCTGGGGTATAGGTGTGCCCCGCTATAGGGGAGGGGGCTGTGACCCCACCCTGGCTATAGGGGCTGGGCTATAGGTGTCCCCTGCTATAGGGAAGGGGGCTGTGACCCCCCTGGCTATAGGGGCTGGGGTATAGCTGTGCCCTGCTATAGGGGAGGGGGCTGTGACCCCCTGGCTATAGGGGCTGGGCGGCTGTGGCCCCACCCCGGCTATAGGGGCTGGGGTATAGGTGTGCCCTGCTATAGGGAAGGGGGCTGTGACCCCCTGGATATAGGGGCTGGGGTATAGGTGTGCCCCGCTATAGGGGAGGGGGCTGTGACCCCACCCTGGCTATAGGGGCTGGGCTATAGGTGTCCCCTGCTATAGGGAAGGGGGCTGTGACCCCCCTGGCTATAGGGGCTGGGGTATAGGTGTGCCCTGGTGTAGGGGAGGGGGCTGTGACCCTCTGGCTATAGGGGCTGGGGTATAGCTATGCCCTGGTGTAGGGGAGGGGGCTGTGACTCCCCTGGCTATAGGTGCTGGGCTATAGGTGTGCCCTGGCCATAGCTGAGGGGGCTGAGACCTCCCTATGGGTATAAGAGGTGGGACACAACCAGACCCCACTATAGAGAGGGGATCTGGAAGACCCCGCTATAGGAGCTGGGTCACAGTTGGACCCAGTCTATAGGCGAGGGGGTAAGACCCCCAACCCCCCACAGGGCTGGGACAGGGCTTGGCTATAGGGGAGGGAGCTGGCACCTTCCTCCCCAGCTGTAGGGGCTGAGACATTGGCTGGACCCCGGCTATAGGGCAGGACTGGGGACATCCCCATCTATAGCTGCTGGAGGAGAGGGTGGGCAACACTTTCCCCCCCCAGCTATAGGGGCCAGGGTGCGGCTGGCTCTACCCCTCTGTGCAGGGGGGTCGGGAACTCCCAGCCCCAGCTCTTGGGGTGGGGCCATACCCCCCATCTATAGGGGTGAGTCGGGAGGCCTCCCGCTCGCTGCCAGCCCCACGGCCCAGCCAGCGCTGGGTCCTGCTCTGGCACTGGAGCCCCGCTTGGCTAACGAGGGTCCCTTGGCTAATGAGGGTCACTTGGCTAATGAGGGTCCCTTGGCTAATGAGGGTCACTTGGCCAACAAGGACCCTTGGCTAATGAGGGTAATCACAGAATGGTTTGGGTTGGCAAAGCCCTTTCAGCTCCCCCAGCCCAACCGCTCCCCTACCCCTGCCATCCCACCCCCAAACCCTGGCC